TCAAACTGCCAGATCCAAGGATTTTCATATTTCAATATTTGATGATTTTCCTGCCAGCCTACCAGAAAGTATGTCCACCTCAGTCTTACTAGCAGCATGAGAGGGAGACTATTGGCCAACATTCCCATCAATAGTTTGTCAGTTTTATTATTTTATCCCAGAAACTGGATATAAAAATGAGTATGAGGATAAGGCATTCTCAAACTCAGTTTCTGGGGAACTTTCCTAAACTGATCATCTTTTCTGTCTTAATACAAGAAATGAGATAGAGGCCATGTTACTGTGCTGACTTGGCCATCAGAAATTGATACCAGGGAGCAGCCAATAGAACGACCAGGTATTTGTACCCATTACCTTAGGAACAATCACATAGCACAACAGTAACAACTTCTGGCTCTGAGGAGAGGCTCTGAAGTTCAGTTCCAGCTCCACCTCACACTAGCTGTGTGATCTTAGGTGACTCCCTGTGTGCTTCACTGCCCTGCTCTATAGAGGAGGGGGTGAAAATGATACATGAGTGAGGAAGCAGCTGTGAGGTGTGTTAGCTCTGGTCTGAGGTGAACTTCTGCAGCTGGGGTCCCTATTCCCCGTCAGGATGAAGCCATGAGACCAAGCACTGTCCTCTCCCCACCACCATGACATAAATTACACTTTTATGTACTCTATAGCATTGTGAAAATCAAAGAAATTTTCACCAGAATAGAAAATAAGAACAGTAACACGCTATAAGCTCTTTGTATACTTTACCTGACAATGGCATTTTAATTGGCACCCTCTTTCCCAGACAGGTATTAAACTAGGTTTTAGGCAGCAGTTCACTGATTCACATGCTCACATGCCTTTCATGGTGTTTCTTACTTTTATTCCTCCTTGCTGCCGAAGCTAAAGCTTAAATATGGAGAGCCTTTTCTGCACCACACCAAGCCATGTCTTCCTCCAAAATATTTCAGTCACGCTGTGCCTGTGCTAGCTAGGACTCTGTACCTTTTTATCCTACCCTTGACACCCTTGGTAGTGGCAGGATCACAGAGATCCCTATATTGGAAAGCACTCCTCAGACCTCAGTCATGTTTCCTTCCCACCTTGCACAAGGGAAGCTGTGTCACACTGACATCAGCTTCCTTCACACATCACTCCTGTCTGTTGCTCAGGAGAGTAATTTGGCTGGTTTTAAGCTATCTGAAGAGATAAAGGCGGCTTTAACATGTACAGGAAAGAGAAATTCCCTGGGTACACACAAACCTTGGATGGGGTGGGGGATGGGCAGTGTTGGTCCCGTCCAAGGAATCTACTTCAGCATTCAGTAACTGCTCCTTTATCATCCCATCATCATCATCATCATCATCATCAAACTCTCAGGCATTTCTGAATCAATTCTTATGCCTGCCAGGGGCCAGGCCCTGTGCAGTTCACGGAATCGGAACGGCACTGCCTCAGATTCACACTAAATAAGCGCTGTTTGCATGGCCAAGCCATCATTTACTTTCTCCTGTCGGTCCTTCTGTAGCAGAGCAATGCATCCAGCCTCATAACTGCCAATTCCTTAGCGCCTACGGTGGACTAGTTGTGTGTGAATCACTCATACACAGGGCGTATGTGCAAAAAGCTGGCCTTTTCCTTGGACAGTAAGCAACACTGCAGAAAAGATGCATGATAGAGCAAAGTAATGGAAGGAGTAAAGGCTTTGGAGTCACTCACCTGGAGTATGACATCTAGTTCTACCGCTAACTGGGTGTATAATTCTGGGTGAGTTTCATAATTTTTCAGCCAGTTTCTTAATCTGAAATGTGTGATAATAGTAATGCCTACCCTACAAGGTTAAGATGAAGAGTAAGGAGCTAATGCCTTTAATAGACTTGCTACAGGGTGACTGGCACACAAAATCATTAAAAAAAAGTAATGATTTTTAATTTATTATGGTTAATCAATAATCAAGTTATGACAGAAGACTCAGCAAAGGAAATGAGAAGTGAGCACCATAAAGGCCGGAGAAGAGGGAACTGAGAGAAGGGTGTCATGGAAACCAAGGGAAAAGATGCCAGGAAGGAGGGAGATAATGCCAAAGGGCACTCAGAGGCCGGTTTCTTCTGACAAAAGAGTGATTTGCATCCCTTAGTGACCAACGAGCATAAAGATAGGAGGAAGAAAATAAGCCTATAGCTTGAAATGAAGGGTATCAGTTGCCAAATGCTCTAAAAATCTCCCTTGGACGAATCTCACTAGTCTGATCTGAACACACAGACATCCAATTAGAAAGAAGTACTTACTTTTCGAGTAAAGGAGAAGCAAATGTCAACAAAATGAGCAAAAACTGTTATACCACGTCGGGGAAATACACTTTCCAACAATTTCAAACACACACAATGGAGAAGAGGCTAGGAAGAGGGAAGCAAAGAGGGATGGACCAAAACACAGGTTTTCCAAGCAGTGGTCCACCCTGATTGCCCTGCTAACTCCAGCGAAAGGGAGAGTGGTGGTGTGGACAGGATGTATTTATTTTTCTACCCTACCTGGTGCCAGAAAGGAATGATGGCAGCATGTTCTGTGTCTTTGGAAAAATCATTCAACAAGTGTTTACTGAGTAAAACAGCGACAAATAAAACTGTGTTCTAAGTTGGACTAGATGTTGGGGTTAGAAACCCCCCACGCGTAGATTTAGGGATGGGTAGGGATGAAGGAAGTGTTAAAATCTATGCAAGCTCAGAGATGTTGGGGCTGCTGTAGCCTTTGGGGATGACTGGAGCTGCTTCCTTCCTGGGGGGGCAGGAGGTGTCCCCTTTGGCTCTGGAGAGATTCAGGGGGCTGCCAGTGGCACAGAGGTGCCCTCCTGACATTTTTTCCCTGGGTAGAAGGTCAGAGGCAGAGGGGCTGTCCGCCCCGCTCCCCGTAATGGGAGTTCAGGAGGCTGAGCATTGGAGCAAACATGGAATGTTGAGCACAGGACGTTGAGCCTCCATGTTTGCCACCAGAAGACAGTGCGGCTCCAGGGGGATGGAGGAGGGCAATCAGTAAGGTCAGATCACGGGGTCGTGAATGGAGCAGGGGCGGGAAGCCAAGGAGGAGCTGAAGGGGTACTTCTGAAAAGAGGAGCGGTTCAAGCCAGGCTCTGGGCTTGGCTACTTACTCCCCGCGAGGCTTCAGGTAGCGTTTGGTTACCACCCCTCCCTCCAGGCCACAGCCTGTGCTCCCTTTGTGCCTACTGAGTGGACTGTGGAAGTCTGGTGGTGGGATATCAGGATATTAGCATAACTAGAACCCTAACCACCTTCTCTGGGACCCCCCAGTCCGTGCCATTCTGAGTACAACACAGCGCAGGGTTCTCTGTTAAACCCTAGCGTCTGTGATTCTTACCAGGCCTCCTGTCCCAGTCAGTCTTCATGTGACTCGCCCTGGTAACTGTACCCTCACTCCTGTCCCCTGACCCATACAGCTCTAGGCTTGTCTCTAACATACGGGTTCCCACTGCTGCATACTCTGTCCTAGCTCTGCGGAGCCCTTATTTCCTTCACGACCGACTCAGATGTACATATTTATCTCACTCTCCACCCTTCTGCCTTACATGCAGTCACACTACACCGTGTCCTACTTGCAAAAATAGGAATGTATGCACCTACAGGAGACATAGGGACTCTAAGGGTCTGAAGTCACATGTGTCTTATCACCTTTCAATTTGAGACCAGAGGATGGACCAAGGAGCGGGTTTCTGAGAAGATCACTCTTTTGTTTCCCTCCTCCTTGAATGCTCTCCACTCTACAAAAATGAGTTGTATGTGGTATGATCCAAAACTAAAATGTTTATTTTCTTTAAAAACATGTTATTCTCTTGATTTCAACACACTTATCCCATTATTTTTGCCACTTTTTGAAATAGTTCTGGAAGTTCTCTTTTGTGAGTGTCTTTTACAGGCTGTGATCTAAAAAATACAGTGAATACTGCTGTCAAGTGCCATCCAACGGAAAGAAAGGCAGGCTTGTGTCCTCAACTGCCTTATTCACTGGGTATGGCCCTCTGCGACTTCTGGCTCTTCCCCAGTGTGAAAATGACCGTGAAACGTAAACATTTTGAATTGATTCAGGATACTGAGGCAGTCAGGATAACGCAACTAAAGACAGGAAAGAAAACTTCCAGAACTGCTTCAGAAAATGGCAAGCACGATGGGATATGTGGGTTCAAACTGAGGGGACATATTTTGAGGATTAACGGCAATGCGTCGTTCACTGTAATAACTTTTTTTAAACATTCACCATATAGTACATACTTTGATCAAGCCTCATAGGGCTTCCTGGCTTTCTGCTTCCCATGTCCTTTCCTGTGTCCTGCCAACTAGATTGGATTTCCTCCCTCCCTAAAAAGGGATTCTCGTGCAGGTGAGATTGGGTTGGAATGGGGTTAGTTTGTCATGTCCCGTGGCATGAGTGCCAGAACTTACAGGATGAGGCTTGGGCATTGTCACCTGGACCCACTGGTGCTGAGCTCCCATGAGTAGCTGTTCTCTCTCTTTTTCTTATCAGGGAGGGGGCAGAGGATGGTATTAGTCCACAGAAGAGAATCCTTAATGTGGCCAGGATGTTGATCAGAAGGAATGGCATAATCTAAGGAATCCACACAGACGAGGGACAGCTCCCCCTCCCCAAAGTGAACGGAATGGAGACCCTGGAATCTCCACGTTGAGTTATTATCCCAGCACCAGACTTCCTCTCCATCAAACTCTTCAGGATACTTAGAGAGAAAGCATGGGCTGGCATTAATTAGTACAGGCCATGATTTGGTGCAATGCGGTAGGAGGCAAGTCAGTTGTGGGAAAAGGACCCTTTCCCTTTGGGGAATATTTCAGCGCATTTCTTTCTCCTGTTCCTTATCTGCAGAATAAAGTTGATAAAAAAAAAACCCATCTCAGAGTATGACTCAGATTTATAGTTTTTCATTATATTTTTCTTATTTCTGTTTGTTTTACTTCTTCCTAAAATAATACCATGAGACATTAAAGTAGATGCTGATATAGAGATATATATTTATTGACAGAGAAGCCCACAACATATTTTATTTAGTGAAAAAATACAGCATATACAGCATCACTTATATTGATCATTTTCATCTGTACATATACCTATCTGGGTACATAGCTATAGGGAAGACTCTACGACATTCACCCAAGGGCTAACAATAGTTACATAAGGGTGGAGAGTTTTGGTTAATTTGTACTTTACTTTTTAGACTTTTCTGTATTATCAGAAGATTTAACAATGAATTATATAACACTTTCACAAAGAGAATAAAGCCATCGAGGAAATGGGCACACACAGAAAATACACTCTTAGGTAGTCGGGAGAGACACAAGGATCGAGGTCAGTCCTTCCCCTTCCACCATCCTGGTATGCCAGATCCTTTCTCCTCCACCCCCAAAGAAAGCTGTTATGCAGATTAATTAATGCAATTAGAAGTCCCCTTCCCCCAGTTTTACCATCACTGATCTCTGGATATAGGTAAGGGGGTTCATTGAAGGCTGGGGGTTAGCACTTTACTGTGGCTCAGAGGGGTCACTCAATTCACAAGGGGCCTCTCCTGTCCCCTCCTCCCCTGTATGTGTCAGCTCCTGCAGGGTGATGATCAGATTCTCAAAAACCTGGACTTTGTTGTTCTCGTTGTCGCAGGTTTCTTTTGAGTGGCCCTCCTCCCCACAATAAGAACAGTACATCATACGTTTTCGTTTCCTGGCTCTACACATATCCCCAGGACCATTACTGTTACGCCCAAAATCACCACTGGCAGAAGGAAACTGATCCTCGTCACTGTCGGGGGAATCAATGACCAGCACTTGATCCCAAGATCCGGCCCTGCCTCTCAGTGGTGGGGCATCAAAGGATGACAGTGGAGGGTCCTCAGACTCCACCAGGATCACATCCTCGTCTGAGTCATCAAGGGTATCATCTATCTCTATCACACTGCAGTCAGTACTGCCAGTAGCCATTGGTGGGGAACTCTGAAATGCCACAGGGCTGGTTGCTGTCTCTGTCATTGACTCAGATCTTTTGGGGCGCTTCCGCCTAATAAAAGTGTCATCCCAATCCTCTTCTTCCCTTACCATCCTGATTAATTCCAGGAAATTGGGAAGCTGCTCCTGCTCATTTGAATATACCCTAAGAAGATGCTTAAGCCTGAGGTGCAGGTCTCTGTTCAGCTCAGCCTCTACTAGGAGCTGGTGCAGACCAGTCTGGTTTGCATCTTTCTCAGCTAGGACGCCTGCCTGAATAGCATTCTGGAGCTGCACCTCTAAACGGATCACGTAAAGGGAGGCTTTCTCCCCTTGTGCCTGCAGGGTGTTAAAAAATTTACCATGGGCAGTCACACGGCTCTCAGACTCCCCAAACACCAGTTTCATTGCCCGCAAAAAATCGGCCACACTTAGGTTGGGGTTGGCAGCCTGCAGCAGACGCATGACCTCTCGGGCAGGGCCTCTAAGGGTTTTCATCAACCGTTTGAGCTTTTCCTCGTCCGACATATTCCAATCTGGCAGGACCCCATTGACTTGGATCAGCCAGTTTTCAAAGGTTTCTTCCCCATAGGCTGGCACTGCCCTCCCAGAGAACAATTTCATGTTTCTCTCTACCAGATTGGCCATCAAAGGACCAAGACTCCTCCCCAGGGACCTCAGCAAGGAAAGGGCCCAAGGCGGCAAGGCTGTGTTTTGCCTCTGGCTATTACCCATACAAGCAAGGATGCTAGCCATGCCTGAAGTTGACAGGGTATCTGAGTACAAGAAGATGCTGAGGCTTTTTAGGGGGGAAAAAAGCACGTAATCAGCACGCACACCTTCCTCCTATTTCATTCGACACTGTAAAAAAGGAAAAAAGGTAATTAATAAGGGGGGAGGCTGCAGCCACAGTCTCTCCCTACCTCAAGAGCCTTCCTTAGATTTTATATCTGCCCACTGCCCTAAAAATACTCTGCGGGAGACTAACAGTTAGAGCATCCTGGAGCTAGCCAGGCTCCTTGTGCCAGCAGGATACTCAAGAGCGAATTCTAGGTTTAATAGTGTGTGGCGTTGATAATTGGGCTGTCAAAATTGATACAATGGTCACAGATTTGTGAACATAAAATAAGATCTCATTAACTTTATGATCTCTGGTCTCAACCACACCTCCCTTCCTCCCGAGCCCCGTTATTTTTCCGATTCTTACACGAGCTCAGAAACAGAAGCACACCTTTATTTTATTTCCGGCCTCTGCAACCGGTGCCTTTGGTGAGAAAGCTCGCCTCCGAGGTATGGTCGAACTCGGCCTACAGAGGGTCGCAGATCCGGGTGCTCAGGACATGAAAACTGCGCCACAGGAGAAGAGGCCAGGGAAAGGAAGATTCTGAAGTAGCCTCAACCAGAATCCTGCGCTACTCCCCTTCCTCCCACCGCATCCCCTGTCAGCAGGAGGAAGTTTCCCTCTCCCACCTGGTGAATAAAAGCCAAAACGACCCCCACACCCGCGGGCTCAGTTCTCCCGGAGAGCACCAGCCTACTCAGCTCTACAATCAGCTGCACTGAATTCAAGTTCAGTTTCAGCTTTGAGGGGCTGCCACGGAGCAAGGGAAGGGCATTTGGACATACCCACCCACAGTGAAGGGGTTCAAGCCAAGGCGATTCCGTCTCCCCCGCCTCACGTGGCCCCCTCCCGCTCTCCGACCCGGGCAAATCCTACCCAACAGGCAGCGTCCGGGTGAACCCCACCTCTTCAGCGCAGCCGGGCCATGGAAATGCTCCCTTCCCAGCTTCAAAAATCACAGATTTTCCAAGCCGGAGCCGCCCTGTACTGGTGAGGTTTAAGCCCCCTCCCGCTTGGCACCAGGGCCTCGCGTTCCCTTTCTTTACCTAGGCACCGCTGGTGGGCAGCGGATGCTCTGGCGTCAACAGCTATGGATTCTTCCTTCTGGTCTCCGAGGCCCTACAGAGGAAAAGGACTGGCGCAGACTCGGCCGCTAGCTGCCGAGGTTCCGAGGGGAGCCGCTTCACAAAGCCGCCCATCCAGGGGTAGCCCAGGGGAGGCTGCGCGGTTCCCTAGGCAACTGAAGCTGCTTTTATCCCCCGCCCCCTGAGACAAAAGAGCCTGACGAGCGGGCCAAGGCGACCAATCAGTGGAGCCGGGGGCGGACTCCCGTCACAGCCCAGGGGCTGTCAAAAGTTGGAGGAGCCCGGGAGAAGCCGGCGGATGGGGCGTCGACAGCAGCTCGGTCTGGAGTAGAGAGCGGTTTGTAATTCACCCTACATTTGCGACTTTCTCCTTCCCTCCGTTCTTTCATTGTCCGCCCCGCCCCCGCAACCTTCTCCTTTTCCCCTTTGGTTCAACTCAGTGGCTGGAGGCCAGGTGCATTCATCATGAGCTGGGACCAAAATCAAGTGAAACAGTGGAAGTTCCTCACCTTTGTATAAGGGAAAGGAGAGAGCGTTAGTACTATCTTTGTGCAAATAGGCTTCCGTGGACGTCTCTTTTATTGTGAAGGAGGGGGCACTGTGTCCACTTAACAGGGAGGAGATTTAGATCATTGCGACTTTTATCCAATAATCTCTCAAATATGAATGTAAAACTGGTTGCATAAGGGTCATTTGGGAGAGCTAGTTAGAAATTCAGATTCCTGGGCTCCACCGTTAGGAAATTCTCTCCGAGGTGTAGAGATTAGTGAAGAAGAAAATGGGTCTGTTTCCGTTGTATCTGTACATATCTGTGGTGAAATGCCAGTCCCGAGGAACTATTCTTAGCTGGGGCCACAATCTTCCTAAAATGGTGTGCTAACATTTTGGACTCGATAGCAGGCTGAATATTGGCCACCCCAATATGTCAGTTTCTTGTCACTGCAACTTGTAAATGTTACCTTATAAAGTGAAAAGGTCTTCACAGATGTGACTTAGGGAAGTTATCCTTATGGGTCCTAAATCCAGACTCTGGTTTCTAGGCAGAATCTTGTTCGACATTTAACCGGCTCCGTTATCAAATCCAGTCCTCTGAAGTGGGGCCTGATGGCATTGCAAAGACAGAGAGTAGGTCTCAGAAGTCTGACAGCTCATGTTGACTGTGTAATGGTGCCTAGGTTGGCTCACCAGAACAAAGCCAAGTCCTCTTTATGTAGGGGTTGGAGGAGCATTTGCTAAACCGGCTCAAGCAGGATACAGAGCATGCCTTCCTCATGTTGCAGGAGAGGGGCTTGAGAGAGACTTTCCAGTTGTAAGAATTTTTGCTCAGCTAAGTAGGGCACATTTTATTTTCCAATTACAAAAATTAAACCTTAAAAACCTGAAAGTTAACAGCCAAAGATTTCAGTTGAAATAATAACTACCTTTGGTTGTCTTCTTCCTGTGTGCCAGGACTTTTCCATCCCTTATCTCATTTGAGGATCTCAGCAACCCCATTGACATAGGCATTGTTACACTAGCGAAGGAGCTGAGTGCAAATTGCCATCCCGCACTGAGAATATGGCTCTTCTGAAGTCCAAGCCCGGATGGGGATACACATGGCCCCCATTTTACCTATATTATCTCATACCCCAAGGGCAGCAGTGTGCATAGAAATATTCAAAAGGAGAGCGGAGATATTTGTAGGCAGACAAAAACTGAGAGAGTTTATCACCAGCAGACCAAACTAAGGGAAACTGAGAATGTACTTCGGAAGGAAAATGATATCAGAAGAACTAAATATAAGAAGGAATGTAGAGCACAGAAGGTGGAAGTACATGGGCAACATAGTGAACATTGATGGAAAAAAGAATCATAAATACATCCATGCTAGATTTAAAAAAATAAAGTACTATACAATAAGAAAAGACATCAAGAGGGACATAAATAGAATTCAACTTTTCTAAGGATATTGTGTATCGCATCAGAAGTGATTTAGGTACATATACTTTGCAAATGTAATTGTATTGTAGTAATTAGTAGGATGTGACTGTTAAGATAAGAGCAACAGGATATAAAACTCCAAACCACTAGGCAGGAAAAAAGTTGAATGGCTAACAAAAACCTCAATTTATTTATTTATTTATTTATGTACTGGAGATTGAACCCAAGGCTTTATGCGTACTAAGCACTCACTCTACCATGAGCTATGCCCCCCTGCTCAATTTTTTGTAAGTCAGGAAAGAAGAGGTTAAAGAGACATAGGTGACACAAATAAAAGCACACAAAAAAAACGGTAGCTTTAAACCAAATATAACAATTTTATTAAATGTTTTGAGAGAAACATTCAAGTGAAAAAACAAGTGTCTCATTTTCTGTCCCTGGCCATCTTGCGGGCTGCTTTTGGTTGGGAGCCACCTGCACGAAGGGTGGAAAGATGGTGGTTGCTGCAAAGAAGACGAAAAAGTCCCTGAAGTTCATCAACTCTAGGATGCAACTTGTTAGGAGAAGTGGAAATTACATGCTGAGGTATAAGCAGACTTGGCAGATGATCAGACAGGGCAAAGTGAAACTGGTCATCTTTACCAACAACTGCCCAGCTTTGAGGAAATTTGAAATACAGTACTACGCCATGTTGGCCAAAACTGGTGCCCATCACTACAGTGGTAATAATATTGAACTGTGCACAGCATGTAGAAAATACTACAGAAAGTGCACACAGGCAAAATCATTGATCCAGGTGCTTCTGGTGCCATTAGAAGCATGCCAGAACAGACTGGTGAAAAATAAAACATGAAAAAATCTTCATTAATAAAACTTGTCTGAGCTCATTTAAAAAAAAAAAAATAAGCTAGGTGCAGTGGCACACACCTTTAATCCCAGCGTTTGGGAGGTCAAGGAGAAAGATCGCCATGAGTTCGAGGCCAGCCTAAGCTACCCAGTGAGTTCAAGGCCAGTCGGAACTACATGGCCAGACCCCACCTGAAAAAACAAACACAACAACAAAAAACAAGTATCATCAAATATAACTGCATGCAGCTTAAGAGAAAAATCCAAAAGATAGGCTGACTGTAAAAAGATGAAAAAAGAAAAATTTTGCAAATAATGTGTAAAAGTTAAAAAATGTGTTATACCTGTATTCACATCAAATAATACATTTTAATGAAAAGACTATTATTAGAACTATGTTATTTTATAGTGTTAAAAAGTTCAACTCTCTAGGAATTTTAACAAATTCACACAATTATGCACTTACAGCAAAGCTCTATAGAAATGCAAAATTATCTTACTAAAAGGAGAAATAGGCAAATGTACAAAGTGGAAGGTCTTACCACACTTTTATCAGTAGTTAATCAATAAGACAAAAATATCTCTAAGGATATAGAATGTTTTAAACAATATTATTAGTCTCTTGAGTGAATAGCTAACGTAAAGAACATTGCAGCCAACAACTACAGTATACATGTGTAGAACAGCTATAAATTTTGACCATATATTAGGCCAGAAAGGAAGTTCAATACATTTTAAAGAATTAAAATCACAATGTGAATAAGTTACAAATCAGCAGCAGATAGGTAAGTAGGAAATCTCAGCATGTTTAGAAACGATGACACATATTTAGAAATAAGTGATGGGTCAAGGAGGGTGATCATGGAATTTAAATATATATTTTAGCTGAGCCAAGTGCAGTGGCACGCGCCTGTATTCTCACTCAGGAGACTGAGATAGGAGGAACATTTGAGCCCAGGAGTTTGGAGCCAGCCCGGGCCACGGAATGAGAACCCATCTCAAAACAGTTGGAGGAACGATAATGAAAATACACTTACCAAAACCTGTAGGATGCAGCTAAAGCAATGCTTAGAAGGAAATCTGTATTAGCAAAGATGAAAGGCCAAAAGGTACCATGTTAAGCATTCATCTTGAGATGTAAGAAAAAATGAAAAAGCAAAAAAAGCCCAACAAAAATTTTAAAATGGTATGATTAATATAAGATCAGAAATTATTGAAATAGAAAGCAAGGAAAATAACGAGTCAAGAATGAATGTCCTCTCTTGCCACTTCTACTCAGTATTGTACTGGAGGTTCTAGTCAGGGCAGTTAGGCAAGAAGGGGAAATAAATGGCATCTGGATTTGGAACGTAAGAAGTAAAACTCTGTTTTTAGAGGATATGATTTTGTGTATAGAAATCGTAAGGCAATCACTAAAAGTGATTAGAAGTAGTAAATGAGTTCAACAAAACTGTAAGATACAAGATGAGCATACAAAAATCAATGGTATTTCCATATACACTAGCAATGTACAATTCAAACCTGAAATTAAGAAAACAATCCTAACAGTATCAAAATTTAAATGTTTATGAACAAATCCAACAAAAGAAGTACAAAATTCTTAAACTGAAAATCACAAATCACTGCTGAAATAAAGATTTAAATAAATGGAAAGACAGTTAATGTTAATGGGGTGGAAGGCTTAAAATTGCTAAGATGAAGAATCTAGAGAATGATCTATAGGTTCAGTAGAATTCTTAACATAATGTCAGTTGGCTTCTTCGTATAAATTGACAAAATGATCCTAAATTCATATGGAAGTACAGGGGACTGAGAATAGCCAAAACAATCGTGAAAAAGAACAAAGTTGGAGGACCCACACTTCCCAATACCAAAACTTACCACAACATTTATAGCCAGTTGGTTTTTGACAAGAGTAACAAGACCATTCAGTAGAGAAATAATCTATTCAACAAATGACGCAGGGACAACTGAATATCCATGTGCAAAAAAATGAATTTGTACCACTACCTCATCCCACGCATAAATATTAACTCAAACTGGATCACAGACTTAAATATAAGAGCTAAAATTATAAAACTCTTAGAAGAAACTATAGAAGTAAATTTTGTGTTCTTAGATATTCCTAGATATGACACAAAAGCATAAGCAACAAAAGAAAAGCATAGATAAATTGAACTTCTTCAATATTTAAAGCTTTTGTGTATTAAAAGACACTGTCAAGAAAAGTAAGAGAATTCACAGAATGGGAGAAAATGTGTACAGGTTATATATAAGGGACTTTCTTCTAGAATACAAGAAGGTTTTTTTTTTTTTTTACAACTCAATAGTAATAAAAAAGACAGATAAACCAATTTAAAAATTAGCAAAGGATCTGAACAGACATTTCCTCAGGGAAAA